AAGGTAGAACTATTTAAGAATAGGATATTAAAAGAAATGACACGGAATTTAGAATATGAAACTAAATCATTGTTGAATAAATTTAGGAAAAAAAAATACTGGTGAATAAGATGGCTGAGAGTATTAAAAGAATTGCGAAGAAGATCCCTAGAAAGTTGAAAGAAAGAGGCCATTATAAGGAAATTTGGTGATTGAATGGGAATGTCCAACCATCATAAAACAAAATGTGAGTATTGTAAATTTTGGAATGAAACTAAAAATGGAGGAACTTTTGCAAAATTCAGATGTGCATAGGTATAGGTTTAAAGAGTTGTGAGAGAAGCTATATGCAGAGTGTTGGATGTTATTTCTGATAAACTAGGTATAAAGGACAACGAGAAGAAAATATACAAACTTGCTGAGGGAGAGGATAGATAGACATTCTAACATTATCAAGTGAATCAAAATTGAGAATCTAAAGGTTTTAGTGAAAGATGATACATTAGAGAATTGTCGAAAACCTAATTTGAGAAGCTGTTGAATGAAAATCATATAGCCTACTCTAGGGTTCTTAGAGACATAATATGATGGATTTTCGATAAGAAAGAAGTTACTAATAGATATATTGATGTTCTAAAGAATAGGTATGACCGTATGATGAGACAACGACCAAACTAGAACAGTTAAGGAAGAAACAAGTGCATTCCTCATTATTCTAGGTTTACATCAAGGATTGACCTTAAGCTCATATCTTTTTGCCTTGGTTATGAATGAACTAACAAAACAAATTCAAGATGAGGTTTTCATGTAGTATGCTGATGATATCATTTTAATTTAAAAATTAGAACAGGGAAAAGTGATAAATTGGAGGTTTGGAGAGAAGTTATAGAATCAAGAGGGTTTGAGGTACGTAAGACTAAAACTGACTACATGGAACGTTACTATAGTAAAACTAGAAATGAAAGTAGGGATGTAGCCTCGAGAGTCAAGAGGTACCAAAAAGCAAACATTGTTTCACCTAAGCTCAACTATACACAGAGAGGGAAAAATTGAAGATGATATTATTTATAGGATAAAGCTAGATGGATGAAATGGAGGAGTGCTTGTGGCATCTTTTTTGATCTGCATATGCCTCTAAAAAATTTATAAAACAATTGCTATACAAACTTTATTGGACGGATTTTGGGTGACCAAAAAATATCATATTCATAAAATGTGTTGCAGAAATATTAATGTTGAGATGGATGTGTCGTAAGATAAAAAATAAAATGAAATGAACACATTAGATGTTTGAAGTGGTACAGATTGGGAGATGAATGAGAGAGAACTAATTAAAATGGTTTGGCCATGTCCAGTGAAGGCCAATAACTACACGGTGAGCATATTTTTATTTGATGTTATGGCTTTAGATCGAGCGTAATGATGAAAAAACTCCAATGATATTTGGTCACAGAAGTTTTGCAAATAAATAAATAATGATAATGATAATAATAATAATAATAATAATATATACCAAAATGTTAAAAAATATATATATATTAGGGTATAATACTAAAATAAAATAAAAAATCAGTTGGGGCATTGCCCCCACCGAGTTATCTATCAGTAGGTCCGTGCCTGTACCTTCTACTATAACATCATATACCTTTTCCATATATAATTATAAATTAAAATAGGAGTAAAAAAAAAAGAAAAGTAAATTGGATGATTAAACAGTTTAAAAGCCAACTATCAACATTATTCAAATGACAGTTTTTGTGTAATCCTATTTTATTCAGTGTCTCTCTCTCATTTTATACTTTTCTTTTGCCACACCAGCATCCTTTATTTTTCTCTCTCCATATCTAATATGCCCAATCTCTTCAGAGCAACTGTGTGTGTGTATATATATATATATATATTTGGTGTCTTAACTATATCTACTTCAATCATGGATATTAAGAACCAAAAATTGTTTTGGAAACATTGAATTTACTGGGAACCTCGTTTTGAGGATTCTTTCATCTCTTTATATGTAAATAAATCCTTGCTTCTTGTATTGTTCTAAAATATATCCATTTTCCTAGTTTTCTGCAAACGTTTATATTACCATTGATTATTAAGGGAAGAAAAGTTGATTTAGCTTTGATTTGGAACCAAACACTTTCTTGGTGGGACCACTCCAATCTTTTCTATCGTCTTGTCTTCTGAACAGTTGGGAATGTTGATGACCTACCCTGGAATTGCATTTGGATGATTGTAATCATTTAGCGGTATTAGTTCATTAATGACTGGTTGTAGTCCCTGCATGTCTCTCACTGGTGCACCAGTGAGCTCATTTTCAGGATACTTCCTTCTAGTTGATGCAATCAGATATCCTTTGCTCTTGTATTTAACCTTTTTTCACATCCCTTTAATACTCTGCAGGACTTGCCAACAAGCTTGCCATCAATTTAAATCAAGGGTAGGAAAAAGAATGGATACAAAGATTGTACTCTTTCGAGATCCAGTTTCAAGATTGTGGCCAGTCCTCTGCCATGAGAAATATGGTGTCGAAGTTCTGGCATGCGGGTGGGTAGGATTTAGCAAAGCAAACAACATTCAACCGGGTGATCAATGTACTCGAGTGCAGTCGGTATTGTTAGGAAGTAAGATGAATTTTAATCCCGTCAAATTTCATTTCCCATTTAGTATATCAGTATTTCAGTATTTTGGACAAAAAGAAACGAGAATGTAAAACCGAAATCTATATGAAGATGGCGCTCATGTCATGAGAGTTTTGTAGCCAGAATGGATCCGTTTTACTTTGTGGGCCCAATTTTCAAATTTTGTGTTTTCTATTCATGTCTTTATTATCTTCACTTCCCTCTGATCAGTGACTGGAATTACTCATGTTCCTCAGGTGTATTCATTCTTCTTCCATCACATATGTACGTTAACAAAGTGTCCCTTTTATCTGCTTCTGTAGATTATAAACTGTTGAGAAAATAATTTTTTAACTCATACCACCAGACAACATTGTTTGATCTCAAACGAGCATTGCTTTCATTGATTTTTCTTACCATCTTTTTTGTCAGATTGTAAAGCACGCATTGTATCACTCAGTTCTCGCGGAAGGCTTTCTTACCCTTTCAAGGTACAAATTTATGTGTCTTTGCTAGAGCTCAAGTCCGGATCTCTCTCCTCCTAAACCTTAATCAATTAGGTTCTTGAAAATTACACGGTGGGCTGGTGGGCGATCCCTGCCATTCCAAGTGCACCAGAAAGCACCAGTGCAGTGTACAGAATCCTTTTATGGTTCAAAAAAACACTTTTTTGAACGATATGAATCATTCTGGCCACGGTCATTTTGTTATTCATCTTTGATTTTCTTAGTGTCACAATGACACCAAACTGATGGTTGGTGTTAGAATCTTGTTATATTGAGGAGGAGATTTAACTGAGGAGGAGGTGTTTTGAGGGATGGTGTTTAATTTGATTGATTTTTTGTCTCAAAGAGTAGGGGCACTTTGCCTACAGAATTTTTCCAACAACATAGTGCACACACATACAATGATAGAAATGTGTGTGGGGATGAAATGTGCTGCCTTCGGCTAGGTGGTTTTAACTCTCATAGTAGCTGGTGCAACCATTGCCATTGCATCAAACATACAACATTTTGAACAACACCTTGAGCCTGTTTGTGCACATCCTGAAATTTAGAAATAAAAATTTTAAAAATCCACATCCTGTGCTTGAATCCGGGTGAAATATCCCGACCTTCCCTGAAGTTTGTCCAAATTTCTTTAACCACTCTTGACGTTAGTCAGAGTTGACCTCAAGCCAGGAGTGTCGGGTTAGTCAAGAGTTAAGCTCAAGTCAAAAGTGTCAAGTTATTTTGATAATAGTTTAAGCACCAACTCAAGTCAAGAGTGTCAGGTTATTTTGATAATAAATTAAGTACGAAGATATTTGGACAAATCTTAGATGTCGGGTATTTCACTAAAATTTTAATGTGCCAACAACCTAAGCCTGGCCCCTTGAGGCCCAGCCCAGCACGGAGTGGGTATGTTTTGCATCATCACCCATAGGAAGCTTTGCGTAATTCATACGAACTTCATGGTTATTTGCCCGGGTAAAATTTTTTTAAAAATATTGAGTACGGTAAAAAAAAATTTGTTATATGTAATTACAGTCAATATACTGGTATTCACATACATTATTTCAAATATATAAGCTAAATGGATTAATATAACAAGTAATTTTGAGAATAACTTTAAAATTAGATAACTCCGGTTTTTTCTTTTTAATAGTCAACACGTAGTATGTGCTTAAAAAAAAAAAAAACACGTGCTATCAAGTTTTAATAAGACCATTAGGTGTACTTTTTTTTTTCCCCCATAAATGTTCATATTCTAGTTTCAAATCTCCCACTTTTCCCTTTATAATTTGTAATTATAGATTTTCATTTTGTCGCATACTTGTAGTCAATTTTAATTTTCTCTAAAAAGTTTTAATTTATTCTTTAAGATAGATATGTTAACTTTTATTTAAAAATATTTGAATAAATTTCTTTCACTTTTATTTAAAAACATTATTAACTTCTCTGTTAACTAAGGAAATGAAATGATTAGGTGAATCACCAGTTATCTTATTATAATTGCAAAACTTTTTTAAATTTTAAATTTCGTAATTTTAGTATTATCTTCTTATATAAAAGGCGTTTATTTTATTTTAAAAAATAATTTTCTGTGCAACAAGCCAAGCACTTAAAGTAGACTTAGGTGACAGGCTTGCAATGGCTCCAGTAGGTGAACAACAGGATTTATTTACTTAACTTTTGTAATTTATTGAAGGGAATTTGATGCCTTCTTATTAAGTTAAGACATACTCTCCGTACAAGTTTTATTTATTTCTTTTTGTCATCACGTGCATTAATTAAGTCAATGGCTGGTGGGAATTTGGGAATGGTGGAGGAGAGAGAGAGGTGTTTGGTTTTCAGATTATTTGATCTTCAATGGATGCCTTCGGTTGGGTCTTCAATGGGAATCCGTCTCTCAGTTGGTTGGAGGCAGTAAGAGGAGGAAGAGAGAGAACGAAGAAAGGACAGATGAGAGAGAGAGGAATTGGAGGAAGAAAAAAGAGAAAAAAAAATGTTGAATTGACTCCGTTTGAAGACAGCGTTAGTGTTTTTGGGTCTTATTTTTAAATGATGATGTGGCAGCTCTTCAACCGTTGGATGGAATACTCACGGATGCTCTGAGAGGGTTTTTAACTGAGAGGAGCCGGATCCCACTGCCCAATGCTTGCCCACCCGTAACCTTTTGCGTAACGGTTCATTGCAAAACGTCTTTTATGCTTTCCACGGACGAAGACTGAAAAAGCCAAACTTTACTCTTTGATACACGCGTCTCTACTCCATCACTTTCGGCGATTCTCCCTCATCCCTATTTTACCCACATCAACTATCAAACCCTATCTTATATTGATTTCTCCATATAGATCTGCCTCCATCTTCATCTTCTTCCTCCATATTCAGAAGAACAGAAGTACTTATGAACGCCCTAAATCAATCCAATCTCCCCTTGGGTCAAAGAGTTCAAATTCTCAAGCGCAGCTCCAGTAAGTGTGGCCCTTTCTCAAGTTACTGCTGATCAAAGAGTTGAACCAAGCAATGATAATGATTATATCAAAAGCCCTAATACCAATTGTTTCTTCATTATCACCGCCTTTCTTCAAGCAAAAATCATCAACTTTTGTTTCCATACTTTTTCGATTTGTGATTGAAATTTGGACTCTTTTGAACCAAGGATGATTGGATTGATTTTGGGTTTTCGTAAGGAGATGAAAAAGAACTCTGAAAATAGTGCACAACATCATTTTCTTAAGGTTATGTATACTTTTGTTTTTATATAGTCTTTCTTTTATTATTATTATTATTATTATTATTATTATTATTATTATTTTCTATTTCCCACTATCATTTTTATTTTACAAAACAAAATGAAAATTGTAACGTTATTTATTATCAGAGTGGATGTCTGTGATCATGTGCATGTTAATGCTTTATTGTTTTGTTTAGGGAGGATGTATGTGATCATTTGCATATAATGTTTTATTCTATTGTTTACTTTTTATGTTCTTTAAAGAAAAAATAGCATCAAATGCTTAAGAAGATTTTGTCAATAGGTTTATACCATCTATGGAATTCCTGTCAGTCAGGAGAGCCAGTTGTGAGGCTTAAAGGATTTTAAAAATCATATAGAACTTGAGCTACAGACATGTTTGTTTGAATTCGAATGCCCGTGTAGGAAAGGTTTTGCAGGCTCCAAATCATGAAGAAGTGGATAGGAAATTTGTTTATCTGACTCCAATGTCATTGCATTGCACTTGGATTGTTGTTGCTGGTGCTGGCTTACTAACAAACAAAGGTGTGGTTCCTATATTAGGTGAATTAAATGACTTAATATAGAAATCTTAAATTTTTTTTATTCGATTCATTATGTTTTATTTGTTCCTACTGTTGTTAATACTACTTTCTATCTATTTTCTGGTCTTCGTTTTACTCTCTCATTCACAACTCCATTGAATTTTTGCATCATCACAATTTATTAGAGACTTAGATATTAGGATGCTACTAGAAGAAGACCAAAATTATAGTATTATTATATAATTATCTCAAAACTGTATGATTTGAATTGTTGGACCTTGATATTAATTTCTGGGCCCTTTCACGAAAAGTTTTTGCTTTTGGAGTAATTGGTGGTATCAAAGCATTGGTTCTGAGAGGTCTTAGGTTCAAGTCTTCATCTCTGCATTTCTGGGAGCTTAATATACATTTTTGCGCTCAATCTCTTACAGCTTAAGCCTTAGAAGTAATTGGCAGTTTAGTAGAAATATTTTTCCAAGAATGAGATAATTTATCCCATTCATTGGGTAACTGATAATTATCAACACTGAGAAAACCATTCAGGCAGCATGTTAATAATGGTAAGGAGTGCATCAGCTCTCTTAAAGTAGCAAAATTACTAGTTTATGATGATGTAGGAATCCAAACAACAATTAGTTATGCCTTCCATGAATATTTGAAATTTCTCGTCTTGAGGCATAATTATATTCGAGTTCCTCTAGGCAAATCATGGTACTTTAGCCATTAACCTCGTTTTCATTATCCTTTTTTGAACTGAAACAGACCCTAAAGTTGATTGTTTTGATTAGGTATTGTTCAGACCCCAATTTCAAGGCGCCAAGGTTGATATCTGGTCTGCTGGGGTCACCTTACTCTACCTGATGGTTGAAGAATGCCCTTTGTTGGCAACCCCGAACAGTGAGGACACTTGCTCTTTACTGAAGTACATTTGATGCACCATGATTTTATTCTTGCTATCCATCTTGCCAACCTTGTTACTGTTGTTGGCAGGAACATAAAGGAAATTGCATAGTTGCAAGGCAGTGAAGATCTTTGGGAAGTGGCCAAGCTACGTAACTGTGAATCCTCATCACCTTTTGCTGGAGAGTACTGTTTTGTCACAGGACCTCTTTGATATACGAACCAAACACTAAAAGGCCAGATTTCCTTAAGGCTGTACCAAGACCACTCTTCCTTCTAAGCGTGTGCTCTTAACCGTGGATTAAACAAATTCTTTGCTGGAGGTCGTAACCCCTTTTAACTGAAATTATAAAATAAATAAATAAATTCTGAATTTGATTAAAGAGAACGTGCAAAGATTCAAAAGATAATACATCTAGCGTACACTGCGATATCATGTTGCTCTATGCCTCTATACTGTCATATAAAGTCTTAACATGGCTGGTCTTTCATGTAAAATAGAATGATATTTCTTCTTATCATTGGATATAATGCATACCTACTACATATACATACATACTTATATATCCTTTTGTCTCACTATTTCTGTGATTAGTATTGTTCAACATTATCAAACGGAGAATGGCGATGCATGTGGCTAATAAACTATTACAGATATAGTACCACTTGCTTTTTTTATTATTATTATATGCTTCTGTATATATATATATATGTATGTATATATTTGGTACTAATAGCTTGGTCATGTGGTTGTAGATCAGAGTATATCAACAATAAGAATAGAACTCGTGACTTCACGACATTTTGACAATATAATTTGTGCATTTTGGAGGTATGTAATTTTGTTTTTGATATTATTAAAGCTGCCTACTAGCTGCTTGTATATATATATATATATATATTTGGTACTAATAGCTTGGTCATGTGGCTGTAGATGAGAGTATATCAACAATAAGAATAGAGCTCGTGACTTCACGACATTTTTACAATATAATTTGTGCATTTTGGAGGTATGTAATTTTGTTTTTGAAATTATTAAAGCTGCCTACTAGCTAGCTTTGGTCTACTTTAGAGAACTCAGAAAATAGTGCACAGTAGCATTTTCTTATGGTTTTATATGCTTGTTTGTTTTTATAGAATCTATTTTTCTTTTTCTTTTTCTTTTTTTTGTCACCCTATTATATTCTTTACAAAACAAAGCGAAAATTGTGAAGTGTATTATAATCAGAGAGGATGTATGTGATCATTTGCATGCTAATGTTTTATTGCATTGTTTAGGGGGTATTTATGTGATCATTTTCATACTAATGTTTAATTTTATCGTTTACTTTTATGTTCTTTAAAGAAAAAATAGTGAGAAATAAGAAAGAGAAAATCATCCAGCAACTTATACTGTTGGTTCTGATTCTGCATCAAATGTTTAAATACATTTTGTCAATAGGTTTTATACCATCTATGGAGTTCCTTTCAGTCAGGAGAGCCAGTTGTGAGACAAAAGGATTTTAAAAATCGTGCAGTACTTGAGCTACAAACATGTTTGTTTGAATTTAAATACTGGTGCAGGAAAGGTTTTGCAGGCTCCAAATCATGAAGCAGTGAGTCGTCCAGTTTCTAAGAGAGAACACTTCCCCTCTTGAAAAGTGGATAGAAAATTTGTTTATTGCTGTTGCTGGTGCTGGCTTACTAACAAACAAAGTTGTGTTTCCTATATTAGGGTGAATTAAATGACTTCATATAAAAAACTTAATTTTTTTTTTTTATTTATCATTTTTTTTTTTGCTCCTAGGGGATGGAAAGCACAGGAAATTAAGAAGCTCCGTGTGTTGGAAACAAGGGCTTCCAAGCTCCAGAGGTAAGAAATTGTAATCGTTTTCACTTCAGTTGAAATACTATTTCCTATCTATTCTCAGGTCTTCATTTTTTTTTTTTACTCTCATTCAGAACTCCATCGAGTTGTTGCTTCATCATTTTTTGAAGGCTCAGGTATTAAGATGTTACTAGAAGAACGACAATATTATATTTAGATGGAGCATAATGATGAAAAAAACTCCTACAATGATATTTGGTCACAGAAGTTCTGCAAATCAATATTAAAATAATTAGAATACATCCATTTTACTCTGTTAAGTTAAGATGGATTACAATTTAAAGGAACCAAACACCTATACCTTCTAACTATAAACATCATATACCCTTTCCATTAATAATTATAAACTATAATATAAGAGTAAAAAAATAAATTGGATGATTAAACATTTTAAAAGCCAACTATCAACATTGTTCAAAAGACAGTTTTTGGGTAATCCTATTTATTCAGATTCTCTCCTCATTCTATACTTACCTATCTTTTTGTCACATCAGCATCTTATTTTTCTCTCTCCACGTCTAATATGTCTAATCTCTTCAAACCAACTAAACTCTTAACCATCTCTTCTAACGTTTTTAGATTGAAAAATAATTTATATATACATTTGTAAGTAAAACAAGAATTAAGAATGTAGAAAAGAAAAAAAAAAAAAAAAATGGAGTTGGACCACACACACAAAAAAAAAAAAAAAAAAAAAAAAGGATTCTTGAGACACTAAACTAACCATAACATTTTTTTTTTGATAAGTAACCATAACATTAAGAATGCAGAAAAGAGAAAAAAAAATAAAAATAAAAAATTTGGTGTCTTAACGATATCTACTGGAGGATGAAATTAAATCCTGTGGTTTCTTTATCCACATGATAAATCATGATGGTACGATCCTCATGGATCCACACCCAAAATTGTGTTGGAAACTTTAAATTTACTGGGAACCAGGTTTTGTGAATTCTTTAATCTCCTTATATGTAAATAAATCCTTGCTTGGTGTATGGTTCTAAAATATATTCATTTTCCTACTTTTCTGCAAATGGTTATAATACCGTCGAGTTATGAGGGAAGAAAAGTTGATTTAGCTATGATTTAGAACCAAGCAATTTCTTGGTCGGACCACTCCAATCTTTTCTATTGTCTTGTCTCCTGAACAGTTGGGAATGTTGATGACCTACCCTGGAAATCACAGTTGAATGATTGTAATCATCTTGCCGTGCTACTTCATTTCCTCTTGTAGAAGTTCTTGCTTAAAGACTGGTTGTAGTCCCTGTATATATCTTGCTGTTGCACCACTGACCACTGGCACATTTTGGGGATTCTTTCTTCCTTCTAGTTGATGCAATCGGATATCCCTTGTTTTTGTATTAAACCTTTTTCACATCCCTGTAACACTCTGCAGGAGTTGCCAACAAGCTTGCCATCAGTTTCATTCAAGGGTAGGACAAGAACGGATAGGAAGCTTGTACTCCTTCGCGATCCAGCTTCAAGATTGTGGCCAGTCGTCTACCATGAGATACTTAGCAAAGCAAACGACCATCAACCAGGAGATCAATGTGTTTTTGCGGTTAGTATACCAGTAGTTCAGTATTTTGGACAAAATGTATTGAGAATGAAAAACCAGAATTGTATATTGTTTGTGACCAGAGTTTTGTGGCCTTTTCGGGAATGAATCCTTTTACATGTGTGCAAGTATATTATTATGTTGCCTTTCATTAGCTATCTGCTACGCGTAATCTCAATTTTAGACTTTTTTCTCCTAAAATGGTATGACTTTGTCTGCCCTTCTGCTTGTGTTGGGAGGATAGAAAATCCTGCTATTAAGTCCAGAAAGTTCCAGAAACTAAGATGAGGAGAGATGGGACAAAATGGTTTGTTCATTTTCTATAAAAACTTGCCTGCCATTTTTCCGTTGGAAGAACGGAACCAGATCATCAGGTGTTATTCAGTTCAAAACCCTTCAACCGCCAGTCGGTTCACTGTCCCCAGGGCTTCGCATTCCTAACCAGAGGGCCACACAGTCCCATTTTCATGGGATGAAGTTTCGAATCCACGATTAACTGCCTGGTGAGTGAACTGGGGATAAAGGTGGCCGATCGAGTTGGCTTCTGCAAATAGGATTTTGGTTGATCTTTTGAGTTATTGTTTGGACCATGAGATGGAAGATCAAGGTCATAATCAGTTAACTTTAACTGATGTTTGGTGTTAGAATCTTGATAGATTGAGGAGGAGAATAATTCATTGTGAATCTGTGATGATAAGATTCGTTTATTTGATGTTTGGTTTGTGGGGGGCGTAGGTGGAGAAAGATTGGGTTTAAAATGTCTAAAGGATAGTGTGTGTGTGTGTGTGTGTGTGTGTGTTTTTTTTCCTTCTAAAAAGATTAAAGGGTACTTTGTCTACATAATTTTTCAACCAAGATAATGTGCTTTATTTGTCTCCTAAAAGACAATCAATATGACTCAAGATTTAAAGAGGATAATTTTATTCTAACCGGTTTTTCAAGCCCGTGTCGTGTGGGGTTTTTTACCCCTTTGATACCGTGGATGATAGGATTATACTCACCGACTTGATAAATAGGTCTAAACAGAATTATTCATTTTTAAAATGTCTAGTTGAGATTTGATCCATTACCAATAGTTCCACAAGTGGCCAGAAGGGGCATACGTGCACACACACCTCTGTGTGTGTGTGTGTCTGTATGGAATATGCTAACTCTCATGGTAGCTGGTGCATCTATTTCCATTACATCAAACATACGACATTCTGAACAAAAAGGAGTTCTAGTTACATTATAACAGCACCTACTGAACTCTACATAGATACTCAAATTATTTCAACAATTTGTTCTGGAGCTGCTGTAGCTGACACTTGATTTTGTTTCCCAACCATTTTTTTCATCTTGATCAGCCACCCCACAACATAATCACACAAACCAAGTGCAATGTAGAGCCCTATCCCACCGATGATTCCGTTCGATATCGAATAAGTCAGTGGCATGAGAAGCATTGTAACAAAACCAGGCACTGCCTCCTTCATATTGCTCCATTCTATATCCTTGACCACCTTCATCATCATCACCCCAACCATGACTAGAGATGGGCCTATGGCCCATGGTGGCACACTAGTCAGCAGAGGAGTGAAAAACAGTGACAAAAAGAAATATGCACCGACGATCACAGCCGTTAATCCTGTCCGGCCCCCTTCCCTGATCCCCGCCGTTGATTCGATGTACGTGGCGATCGGTGAAACCCCGAGCGCGGACCCCACAACCGTAGAGGATGCATCCACCATGTAGGCTACATATTCCCCTTCGAAACCTCCTTGGTCATTCACAAACCCTCCAATTTCTGCCATGGTGTACAATGTGCCTGTGGTAGCTAACACATCAACATATAGCAAGGTCACTAGGGCCACCCAAACCTCACTTCTATTGAAGTTAGTGAAGCTGATAGCCCCAGCAGTGGACTTGATTTTGTGGAAATCTACCACTTTCTTGAAATACTTGTAGTTTGTGTCACCAAGTGGAGTGTTAGGAAATGAGGTCACAGCAGTGCCCCTAATCCATGAAATTAATGTCACAAAAACCATACCATATATCATACTACCCTTGATCTCTTTCATTAGCCCATAACTCATAATTAGGAATCCGACCGAGCCGAGCCAAAACGTCGGGCTTTCCATCTTCCTGCCGTGGCACTCTCCGGTGACCGGATCGGTACTCGCACAAGCCGTGACGGTCACCAACGTGGCCGGATCAGGGCCCACTAGGCCTAGACCTTGGTGGGCCTGCAGGCCCACGAAGGCTATGAAAAGCCCGATACCGGCAGCACAAGCCAGCCGGACCGAATTAGGTATGAGCCTAGCCAGCTTTGCACGAAGCCCGAAAACGGCGATTGCAAGGAAAGCACAGCCTTCTACCAAGACCACGGCTAGAGCCGTCTGGTACGACATGGGCCCAGACCCATGGAAGCCCACTAAGTTGTAGGCCAAGTAAGCATTTGGGCCCATACCGGGGGCCAATGCCAAAGGCAAATTGGCCAAAATACCCATAGCAAATGACCCAATCATAGACGACAAGGCAGTGGCCACAATGAGGTCACTCTTGATTTTGGAGAGGCAGTTCTGGTACCCGGCATTAGGTTTCAGCATGCAGTCTGGACCTGCTGCCGTCTGGTTAGCCGGCACCGAGCAGTCGGACACCGAGCACGTCCCACCGGAGTCCGCCAAGATGGTGGCGTTGACGGTGATGATGTAGGCCATGGTCAGAAATGTGGCCGTGCCGGCACGGAGTTCCCTAGTGAAACAGCTCTTCCTTGCTTCCAACTTGAAATACTTGCCAACCAGGCTCTTCGACACCGCTTCGTTTAAGCTTCCCTCCATCTTCTTCCACAGCTTGCCTGGTCTTGTGCACAACCCAGTTCCCATTCTCGCACAGAGCTCACCTGCCATCTATCTCGATCTCTCTATGTGTGTGTGGATGTGTGTGTGTTTCAGAGCTGGCTTTATATGCATTAATGAATGGAGTTGTTTGGTGCTTTTGTGGATAAATGTGCTTTCATGCGGACTGACGACAGACTCAATATTTAGGTGTTACAAAACAAAAAGTGTTTCTTTTATGTTTAATTAATGAAAATTTGTTAGTGTTGGGGTGGGAGGGTATGAATGTATTGATTATAGCAATCTTGGAATTGATAAAGAGGCCACCTCCTTATCTGGCTTACCATATACGTATGTGTATGCAATACTATGTATAACATATAATAAGATTATGTTTGGCTACTCACATTGGAAGACTTGTTCCTTACAAGTCAAATAATAATTTGACACCTTATGCGATATCTTCTTTATCTTTTAAAATAGATGGTTGAGACGATGAACAAATAAATAAAATAAAAAATAATATTAATAATAATTTGACACCTTATGCGATATCTTGTCTATCTTTTAAAATAGATGGTTGAGATGAAGAAAAAATAAATAAAATAAAAAATAATATTAATAATAATTTGACACCTTATGCGATATTTTCTCTATCTTTTAAAATAGATGGTTGAGGCGAAAATTTAAGACCAGACCTTACAAAAAAATGTAATTGAGGTATATATATATATATTTTTCACCGTAGTAAAAAAGAAAAAAAAAAATCAGCATTGAAAAATCTTAAGACCCCATGTAACAGTAAAATAAAGTTTGGTGAAAAAATCATATTAGCCATATATGTTGGTGAAAAAGCCATATTATTCATATTGTTTTGACTTTTAATGTGGACTAGTTTTTCAATTCTGTACTCATGACAAATTTAGTACTCCTTGCTTAAATTGACCTTTTGTGTGGATCCATTGTGAAATCCGTTTTACTCAAAAAAATAATAATAATAAAATAAAAAATAAAAAATAAAATAAAAGAAAAAAAGAAAAAGAAAAAAAAGACGTATGATGGTAATAAGGTTATTATGACTGTTAAATCATTTTCTAGAAATAATTCTGTAAATAAAAACTCACTTCTTCAATGAGTTTACATAGTTGTTCATGTATCAAATATAATGGGACCTATTTTAAAATATAAAGTATATAATTAGGAGTATATAAAAAAATAGCACGTCTCTTTTCTTCAAGAGCAATGATAGAAAGTCTGACAGTTAGATACATTCCACTAATTTTATGTGAATAAGGGTTGATTTTATCATAACATCATCAACATTTACTCACATAAATAAGTCGGACTTGTTTGACTTTTGGACTCCAAATCATTATCATTTCTCCAAATAAGAGTCAAAGTTCGCATCAAAATCTATGATTTTTAGGGGTATCTTTGTTGGCTCTTAAAATTCCAATCTATGTATATATATAAAGTCATATATATCAAATTATGTATTTATATATATATATATATATATATCAAGAGACACAATCTGATTTATATATATATCATAAATACATAATTTGATATATATGACTTTATATATATACATAGATTGGAATTATATATATATGTCTACTTTAATAAGCATTTGTTAATTGGTATAATGATCAAAGCCAACAATTTGTCTTGAACTCTGTAAACATTGCATAACACTGCAGGATTAGGGTTTAGAAATTAATGAACCAGGTGGCACAAGAGGTTTGATTAGGAGGAGATTTAGGGATGTGAGAGAAATTGCTACGGTTGAGAAAGAGAGACAGATGAGAGAATTTGTGCGGGAGAGAGTTGCAGATAAGGAAAGAGACATACAGAGCAGAGAAATTGTTGCAACAAGAAATAGAAGTCATGTCATCCATAGGTTGAGAGTCCATAAATAAAAGTCTTCAATAATATCATTTTCTAAACATAAAAATGGATTAATTAATAACACGAACGCAAAAATAAAAGATAGATATATTGAAGTAGATTTCACATAATCACACGGTAACAGGGTCTTTTCCACCTCTTTGAAGTGCATTTTAGTCGGTTCAACTAAATTTTCTAACCAAAAGTGCCAATTTTTGTATGCAAAAAGCCAAAAAGGGGCAAACCTCAGTGGGACACGTTGCAAAAAAAGTGCAAGTCTTAGGTTTATCTGCAATTACATCAAACACAGGGTTGGTTATTGTAGTTTATCCTAATAATTTTCTTTCATGTTATTAAGTTGGTTCACGAGGTTGATCTTGATACAATGATAAAATAATATTGTGATTTGAAAATCACAAGTTCAAAATCGAAAACAATTTTAATATTTTATTATTATTATTATTATGTCGGTTAATATTGTAGTACTTTGTGGTTGGTTGGTTTTTTTTTTAATTTATTTTTTTAAGAATAAATTAATTTTAACTCAAGAGTGGGGGGATCTTTTATTTTTTTTTTCAATGAGTTGGTATACGTCATTGTAAATGAACCTTTGACTCGTTGTAAAAGGGGCAATAATAACGTTCAAATATTTACAATTTATTATGATGGAATTGAGTTTGCATGTCCAATGAGCTCCACTAAAAATGTTCCCTTTTTTTGTTTCTTGGCCTAACCCACTAAACATGTATTGGTTGCTCACAAACCCCAAATGTCCAATTCCAAATCTTTGAACAAATCCCAAATTCATCTAAATATTACAATTTATAAAAAGTTGGTCTCTTCAACCTTGACAAAAGGACCCGTGCCGTACCGGGTTGTAGCCCACTATCCTTGCTTACTTGTAGTAAATGCTCCATTTCTATTTAAAAGTTCTCATTTCACCTAACACAACTAAGTTTTTTTTTGGGTAGGTTTTAGCATCCATTTGGAAGAAAGATAGACCAGAAGTGTCCCGTCATAAATTTTATTTCTTTGTCTAATTGGTAGAGCGCTCATCTTCTCCAAACAGAATATGCTGTGTTTAGATGGATGACAAAAGGACCTGTGTTATACTGGGTTGTAGCATTATTTAAGAATGATCGGCTCACTTAAGATATTGAGAGAAAAATTGGAAATTAGAGGATTTTAAGCCGAGGAGTGAAATAGAATTCTTTACCGAACACTGTTGACTATCAAGGTACAAGGAATATAAAGTTGTCGGGATCCAATCCTTCATATTTTGCATATATTGACAAATCATAAGTGTTCAATCTTACCTCACAACTAAAGAGGCAAGCATTATTAATTTTTAAAAAAAAAAAAAAAAAGATTCTCGTACCAAACAACAATCCTTCCAATGAAAGTAGGGATGAAGATTTATTTGAAATTGATTAGTAGGGGAATTAATTTAATCTACTATATATAAATATATATGTGCTCTTGGTGGGTTTGAGCCTAGTCATCAATCAAAATCATGGGAAAATAAAGCTGATTCTTAGGTGTACGTAGTACTCACCTTTAGTTTAGTTAAAATTGATTTAAGGAATATTATATATTATATATGTGTATATTTTGCATATAATATTTAGTGGTCGGTTTGAATTGAGGGTCACTCACTTTATAGTAGCTTTTTCTTTTCATTAATTTATACACTTTAGAAGTGGTCCCCACGTGTAGTTATTGTTGTTCTCAAACAGCAAATGAATCTGTTAAACAATTGTTAGTAATTAACGGTCCCTAATATAGTAATATATCTCTACTTGCATCGTTAGGACATTGAAGGGATAAAAAAATAATAATAAAAAAAATAATTTAAAATTATTCAATTGACAAATTAAATTCTCTTTCAAGACAATTTTTAATTACATATATTATACATTGATGGTGAAATATATATACATGTACACATATATTTAATTAGGAACTAATATATATATATATATAATTGAATGAAGGCATACATGTGACACAATAAATAAGGAGTCTGCTGTGGGCAGAGCTAATTAAGGTCCAGAAGGGGCACGTGCTCCTTCTCACTTTGCTCTAACCTACTATACATAGGTACATATTTTTGGTATATACATATATTTACATGGTAATTTTAAATAGTGTCTCCCCTCAAATTTTTAAATTCTTCTAATTTCCTTTTAAAAAAACGAAAAAAAGTTAAATATATTCCTTCTTCAAGTATACAATATATTTTTTCTTTTCTAATTTTTGTTTCTTTTTCAAAAAAATTCTTTTTTCACTTATGTATAATTATATATATATTTATTTTTTAAAACTTATTTCTTTTTATCGATGACATTTGTGATTGTATTTAATTAAAATATATATTTTTTGCCTAATTGGGTACTCACACATGCTTCCACGGAGACTTGACACCTCTCTTTGAAAAGTAAGGGCATAGTACCGTTAGATCACTGGTCTGTTAATTATTTAATTAAAATATATATATATTTATTTAATTAAAATATTATTAATTAATATTTTGATTCTTATATTTGTAACTATATTTTTTTTTAAGTATTTATTTAACATATTATTTTAGAAACTATTTTTTTCTTATTTGTCTTTTTTATTTAAAAAAATTATACTTTCTATTTGTCATATTTATTATTATTTATTTTTTAACAACTGCATCATGCCTCCTCTAAAATAAAATTTTGGCTCTGCCTACCCATATACAGTAGTATGTTTCACATATATTACGTTAAATTAATGTTTACATATAAAAATTTGCAATGCGCCACTAAGATGCCAAAAAACGCATGGTGCACGCAGCAATGTTCTTAGAAATGTTCCTCTATCTATAGTCTTAAAAGCCACAGAAAAAGTAGTGCTAATTTATCTTGCCAACCCACCACATATATGTATATATATATATATATATATATATATATATATAGTACTAATAAAATAAAATAAAAAAATAATATTGTAATTATATCATACTTTAGTTGAAAAACTTTAATTTCTCCTCGTTACTTGCAAGATTCCATCTCCCAAATAGGAATTAGGAACAGCGCGTGCTGCTGCAATGTGATTAGCTTGTTAGGGGCTGGAATACCTTTTTGGGGACACACACCTATATTATCTAATTATATACTGTTATCTATAATATATAACATATTTAATTATCA